CATAGTAGGCTGAGAAGTGCGTTCTGGCTACAAGGTACGACGTATATATATATATATATATATATATATATATATATATATATATATATATATATATATATATATATATATATATATATATATATATATATTTATATTTTTATGTGGATAGTAGCCTCACCAACTTCTTGTGTTATTTTAATTGTGTTAATTAGTTTGTTAAGTCATGAGATTAATCAAGAACTGCTGTTAATATTTTATTTACAGCAGTAGTTTCAATCCCTGTTATCTAATTTATGTTATTGTTTAGTTAGTAACTGTTCGTAAAATAAAAATCACACCAATCTGGTGGCTAAATTTCGTAGAGAACACAGTCACAAATTTGGATGGTTTCTACGTTTGAGTGTTTTTCCACTCACTGGTTATTTAATTGTATTTTTATTCTCTGGTTGATTCCTTGGAACAATGATTATTCCTGTTGTTTGCAGTAAGTTCTGTGTACTGCTGGTTGAGGTTGACTGAATGAGTCCACATTGATTTATAGCAGTGAACTTTTGCTGCTATATTTAATAATTCATTTATGTTAATTGCACTGGTTATTTAATTTAATAATAGTCTAGCTCTCTAGACTATGGGGAAACTCATGGGAATGAGAACCTGTCTAATGTTCCTGAATCATACGGTTCGTTGTGTGTGTGTGGGGTATTTTTCCAGCAAGATTTTGTTTGTTTATTTATTTATATAATAAATTATTGATTTATTGAACTTACTTTAATTTATCGTTATTAATTCAAAGTGGAATGTATATTTAAAAGTTATCCTACTAGGTGTTTACCTGGTCACACATTTGGGGGAGGTTTATGTACATAGCTTATACCACAAATAATGGATTTTAGAATAAGCTACTAAGTAAGTAAGTAATTATCAAAAGAAGGCACGAAACCGTGAAGGCTATGTAGCACCATCAAATGCGCAAAATAATCAGAGGGTGCTAAATATCACCAAGGATGCCAATACGAGAACAAAAACGCTAAGGCGAACGATATCAAAAGTATCCGAGTCACCAAGAATTCTATTGAGGGACAGGTGACCACGAGGGGCGGTCGGAAAGTAAGACACACGCTCGTCCTGGAAGTCAGGACATTCAAGAAGAACATGCACGACCGTAAGAGGGACAATGCAACTAGGACAATAAGGAGCAGGACGGCGCTCCATTAAGTGACCATGAGTTAAGCGAGTATGGCCAATACGCAACCTCGCCAGAGCAGTTTCCCATCGCCGGTTACGGTGGAAGGAGGACGGCCACGAGGACACACAACATTTAAGAGTACGCAGCTTGTTACCAGTAACAGAAGACCAAGAAGCCTGCCAACGGGTAAGGACTGAGGAATGGATAACTGGGTAAAAGTCGGAATAAGGAATACCTTTACGAGAGATGGGACAAGAGCGGACAGCTTCCTTGGCGGCAGCATCCGCACGCTCATTTAAAGACACACCAATATGGCTGGGAACCCAGCAAAACTCAACCGACTTAAATTTACTGTGAACAAGAAACAGCCAATGCTGGATCTCGACAACCACTGGATGGACCGGATTAAAGGACCCGAGAGCCATGAGGGCACTACGAGAGTCAACAACAACTACAAAGGAAGATTGACAATGAGAAAGCAGGAAAGAGGAGGGTAGTGAAGACGAGGGAGATAGCGTACCTCAGCAGGAGAGGCAGCACTGAGAGGGAAGCGGGGGCTAAAGAAACCTTCATAGCAGAAACAGGGGGCGCAACCACCGAAATGGGAGGGAAAGGAGCGAGAGAGGCAGAAGTAGGGGCCGAGGAAGAAGGCGAAACCTTCTTACCCGCCGGGGAGGAGGAAGGAGAGGAGCCAGGTTTACGCTTCTGACGTAAAGAGGCAGGTGTTCCAGCAACCACGTACTGGGCAACGGATTCTTGCGTCTCAACAGGAGAAGCTGAACGAGAGCACACATGACGGCCGTTTGGAGAGCGATGGACATCAGCCCGCACCGACAGGCGGCGGGGAGAGTCAAGAGACGGATGGGAAGGAGGAACAGAGGGAGACGAGGAAGAAGACACAGGAGACACGACAGACCGGGTAGAAGGAAGGGGAACCCCAGACAGAGGACCAGGAGGATCCTTCGGGAGAGAACCCAAAGGAACAGAGGAGGGGGCAGTGGGCGCATCAGGGTCCAAGGCCCGGAAACGGTTGTGAGCCTGAGGAAGGCGGGAAGGACGAGGAGAGGAAGAGCGCAACACGCGAGCATAAGAGATATTAGCATAAGGCGGGAGCCGGCGAACCTGGCGTCTCGCCTCAGGAAAAGATAAACGCTCCCGGTGCTTCAAGTTGAGGACGGCTGCCTCAAGCTTGTAATGGACACACACATGGGAGAAGGTAGGATGGGCCTCACCGCAGTTGAGGCAACGAGCCTGGGGAGAAGTGCACTCCGACTTAGAGTGACCTTTGCCACCACACAAAGGACAGAGAGAGACAGTCCCGGAGCAGCGGAGGGTACCATGCCCAAACCTCCAGCACTTGTTGCAGAGCCGAGGAGAAGGAATGTACTCCTGGACAGAGCACCTGGCACCAGCAAGAATGACAGAGGGTGGAAGGGTCCTACCATCAAAGGTAATCTTCACAACCCGGAGGGGTTGACGGCGACTACCACGAGGGGGACGAGTAAACGTGTCCACCTGGAGAATAGAATGGCCCTGGGCAGCAAGGATATGTCGAATATCGTCGTGGCAGTCGCGCAGGTCCCGAACACCGGTCGCAACATGGGGCGGGAGCAAAATAGTGCCAACACTGGCATTCAACTGAGCGTTCTTCGAGACCCGAACAGGGGTCTCGCCAAGGCAGGATAAGGCAGCCAAGCGGGAAGCAGCATCCTGAGAAGGAGCAGCAACGACACGTGTACCGAGACGAGTGGGGTTGAAAGTAATGGAGGCATCCACGGAATCAACGAGATGTCGATGGAGGGAGAAATCGTCAGGAGGCGCAGAATCAAGAGGGAGATCAAAATATTTGGCCCACGAAGCGGGACCAAACAAGGCTTGATAGGTAGCAGAACTGGAAGGAATCGAGCGAGGGCGGCCGTGACGAGGACGGCGGTGAGAACCCCCAGAGAGAGAGGGGTTAAAAGGCGCAGTAGTTACAACTAGAGAAGGAGCCGCGCCAGGGGACGAGGTAGTCACCACTGGCGGCTTGGGGCTCGACCCAACCACAGAGAAGGGAGGGGAGCCAGGGGAAGGAGTCAGAGAGGCCAAAGGAGGAGCAAGGTCGGGGCCCAATGCAGCGGAGGCAACAGAGCCCAGTCTTCCAATACGGACCGACTCGGGGGCTTGGTCGCCCACCCCACGAGCCTGAGAAGGTAAACCAGAAGCAGCCGAAACAGGGGTTATCATCATTACGAAAAGAAGAATTCACTCACGAATGTGCCCCCACACCCACCATGGAGCCACAATTAGAGGCAGGACACCCAACAAGAAGCTATCGCCGATCTTGCCGGGGTCTCCTAGGGGTGCGTCGTGAGTATACGCCCCACAAACGCCACCTTAAGAAACCAACAGTCCGTCGAGATCGGGTTCAGTGACGAAAGGGGGATTGACAATAAAAGGTTCCCCTCGCTCTTGACGTCGGGTACTGCAGTTCTACGGGTGCAAGAGTATGCCTCCTCAAGCACCCGGGCGTCAAAATAGAAGAAGTCCAAGGGAAGAACCAGAACGAGCAAAAGGTCGGCAGGAAACGGCAAGCAGATAGGAGAAGAGGGGGGAGAAAAACGAAACAGAAGGAAAAGGAAAAGATGCCCAGCAGAATTGGAGAGGACGGCAGCAGGAGCACAAGGCTAGAAAAGGACAGAGGACTGTCCCAAGGAGCATCACACTCCGACAGCCGCCCACTAAGCCCCCACACGGCGACAACGAGCTGAGCGGGGAGGGGGGAATAAGCTACTAAATTAATGTTAGTACTACAGCTAAAATAGATTAGTAAAATGGTAGCCATGTCTTAGCTGGTAGGTAAAGTATAGCCTAGTAATAGGCACTGGACACTCTCTAGTCATCTATGCAAAACTCGTTGTTTTAATCCTTAATGGTGACTGTGGATGCTTCCTGTTGCACTAGGATGACTCATTATAATTTCTTCCTCCCTTGACTGTATCAGCCGAGTAACTAATAAGTAGTAAGTAACCTGTCACTACTAAACACAGCATATAGCAAGGAAGAAATCTATATTATGGTAGAATAATATGGCGTAACCGGCAAAATTTGTACATAAATTAATGGCCCCCAATTTATTCATATAACAATTATTTTTACCTGGTACAATACTTCCTAAGGTAGCGAAATCGTGGGTTGATCAGAGACTTTGTGGTTCCTGTGTCACGAAGTTCGTGGGAAGTGTATGAGATATACTCGACAGGAGAGGCGAGCTTCTCTCTGTCTGTGTGACCACGCACGTAATTGTGTCGGGTCTTCCTCCTGTAGCTCAGTACAGAATTTTGTATGTATCGACTTAGGGAAGTAGACATTATTCTTATTGATAATTATATTAGATACAGTCATAGAGAATACTTCTTATTAATTCTAATGCCTAGACTGGTAGTTTTAAGGATACGTAGTGAGCGTAAATGAATATTTTGATGACGTCAAGGATTTCCCGTTCTCTCTGAGAACCTATTTTCTTAAAATGAAGTTAGTGGTTAGTAATGTTTGTATGTTCCATGTCGGAATTTCTGATATGTTGATAACAGAGGTGGGTTGTGTTGATAACATAGAGGTGGGTTGTGTGGATAATATGGAGGTGGGTTGTGTTGATAACATAGAGGTGGGTTGTGTTGATAATATGGAGGTGGGTTGTGTTGATAACATGCATATATCACCATACGTCACACTGTTTATATTTATTTCACCTCACTGAATAATCATATAAACTTTTCTTAAACACAGCAAAATTTTAAATTAAAATGAAAATTTAGATTTCAAAATGGCTCAGTAAATCAGTGTTTACTAGGTCATGCAGGTGGAGGAGGCGCTGAAGAAGGTGCTGGCCGGGGGATTCTCTTTCATAGGCTTCAAGACCACCGGCATAATCACCATCGCGGCTCACTATACGGACTTAAGGGGCAACACTCCGTTCTTCATCAGCAAGAACATTCCTGTTCTTGCTGCCTTTGGATGGTGCCTCAGGCAAGTTCTTGTCATTAACGATACGCTTCTCTCTGAAATATCTCGAAATCAATTATTGTGCTGTGTTCATGTTGGAACTAATAAGTGCAAAACATACAAACTTGATGTTTAACTCATTGTGAGAAAGCGCTCCAGATCTCCGTTAGTTTTGTCATGGAATAATATATTTTATAGGAAAGATGTTGCTTCATTAGAAACAACATAACAGGCTGTCAGTCATATTTTAATCAAATATATATATATATATATGTATTAAATATAACCGAAAAAGTAAGATTAATAATTCTAACACGAATTTTCTCAATCTTTCGTACATTTCTTTTCACTGTTGGAGGTAATTCTAAAATCAATTCTCCAAAATTCATTTTTATTTCTAGTCTGACGCGACACGAGCGCGTTTCGTAAAACTCATTACATTTTCAAAGACTTTAGTTTACAAATACACAACTGAATAGAACTTACGCATCTCCGATTTTGTTTATATCAACATTTGAGTGAGGTGGATGGGGTGAGGTGGCATTAACAGGGTATTAATTTCATCAACACAAGACAGAACAAGAGGTGGCATTAATAGGGTATTAATTTCATCAACACAAGACAAAACACGAAACAATGGGTATTGAAATGGAAGTGATTGTAGAAAGCCTATTGGTCCATACTTCTTGATGCTTCTATATTGGAGCGGAGTCTTGAGGTGGGTAGAATATAGTTGTGCATTAATTGGCTGTTGATTGCTGGTGTTGACTTCTTAATGTGTAGTGCCTCGCAAACGTCAAGCCGCCTGCTATCGATGATTTCTGTGTTGTTTACTAGGATTTCTCTGGCGATGGTTTGGTTGTGGGAAGAGATTATATGTTCCTTAATGGAGCCCTGTTGTTTATGCATCGTTAAACGCCTATCTATAGGCAAGACAACAACATCTCTTTCTAGGCGTTTAACGATGCATAAACAACAGGGCTCCATTAAGGAACATATAATCTCTTCCCACAACCAAACCATCGCCAGAGAAATCCCAGTAAACAACACACAAATCATCGATAGATACAGCGATAGCAGGCGGCTTGAAGTTTGCGAGGCACTACACATTAAGAAGTCAACACCAGCAATTAACAGCCAATTAATGCACAACTATATTCTACCCACCTCAAGACTCCGCTCCAATATAGAAGCATCAAGAAATATGGACCAATAGGCTTTCTACAATCACTTCCATTTCAATACCCATTGTTTCGTGTTCTGTCTTGTGCTGATGAAATTAATACCCTATTAATGCCACCTCTTGTTCTGTCTTGTGTTGATGAAATTAATACCCTATTAATGCCACCTCACCCCATCCACCTCACTGAAATGTAGATATAAACCAAATCGGAGATGTGTAAGTTCTATTCAGTTGTGTATTTGTAAACTAAAGTTTTTGAAAATGTAATAAGTTTTACGAAACGCGCTCGTGTCGCGTCAGACTAGAAATAAAAATGAATTTTGGAGAATTGATTTTTGAATTACCTCCAACAGTGAAAAGAAATGTACGAAAGATTGAGAACATTCGTGTTAGAATTATTAATCTTACTTTTTCGGTCATATTTAATAATATATGTCTACAGGAAAGACTGCTACCAAAATATACTAATATATATATATATATATATATATATATATATATATATATATATATATATATATATATATATATATTTATATTTATGATCGATGTTCCCTTCGGGAATCCTAATTTTAAGATGAATAGGAAAACCAGGGATATACTAAACATCTTGTTTCAGATTCTTTACTTTAAAATGCATAACGTTTCGAATACTTCTCGTATTCATCATCAGTCCTAAAAGAAAAAACAGAAATCACAATCAAATAACTGGTAAACAAAGAACTCATACTGAATATAATTGCCTATCAAAGAAAGGAAAATGCTTAAAAAACAAAACACTTAAAGTGATCAATATAAATAAAACTTATTAACTGACACATATATTAAAGCTAATTTAAAAATCCAATGAACTACAAGATGAATTTTATAACTACTAAAACAAACCTTTCTATTAAACTTACGTGAAGTGATCAGAAGTGAAACTTGATACCCAACACATAGATACTAAACACTATAAGAAATATTTATATATTGACTACAAATGTACAAAAAATGAATATAAAATACAAACAAAGTAAACGACAATTATAAAGTACTAACCAAAATCTTATAAAAAACTCAAATATTAAATAAAATTAAATACCAAAAATGTATTATATATCCTAAATAAAAGATTATATTAATGTACAATGTCAAGACTTGAAATAAGTATGAAAGGGCAAAGACATGGTAAACTAAACAAAATTATAATAAAATTAAACTACCAGAATGAACTATAAATCAAATTACAGGGCCTACTGTGCACTATACAGTGTACAATTGAACAGCTGAAAGGTTGCTATTTAACAGAGGCCGCAGCTCCTTTATATATAAGGATTCCATTACTCTCAAATCTGACTGGCCATTCATACAAGTGTCCAGAATTTTAAAATCAGATTCCAGCAGAGAATGATCAAACTCATAACAATGGATTCTAATCTCCGAAAATGCTGGTTTAGACAATGGTAATCCAGTCCTAAAAGATAATCCCCGGTGCTCAAGTATCCTAATCTTAAAGTTCCGAATGGAACGCCCGATATATCCAGCATTACAGCTGGAACAATTATACATATATACGACATTAGAGCACAGGGGGGTAGGCACTTTATCTTTAAATTTAAAATAAGAGCCTATGGTATTGTGTTGACAAAAATAAATCTAAAGTCTACTTGAGGATAACAATTCTGCAACAGTCTCCTCAAACGACTCCTTACAGAAAAGCTAATAGTGCCATAAAATGGTAATTTAATATATTTAAGATCCCTTTCCACTGTAGTAATCCTACACGATGGGTGAAACTTCTTATTTAAGAAATTCCTTATAAAGGTATAAACCATATGCAAAGGATAACCATTATTTGAAAAAAATTTCACAAGTAAATTAATTTCATGATCAAAGTTATTCCAGTTTGAACATAAAACAAAGGCCCTATTCAGTAGAGTGTTAATTGCATTTTTCTTAAAAATATCAGGAACAAAAGAATTAAAATTTAAACCTAAACCAGTAAAAGTTGGTTTCCTAAAAACATTAGTGTTGAACCCATTAAGGTTATTCACTTTGACATCAAGAAACGACAATGAATTATCAACTTCACACTCTGCAGTAAAACGTATATTACTATGTTGTGCATTAAGATACTCTCTAAATTTCTCAATATGACATTGGTCCTTAAATAACAAAAAAGTGTCATCTACATATCTCCTGTACAAGACTGGTTTAAAGGCCAAAGGACAATTATCAAGCCAATTTATTTCATGAAAACTCAAAAAAGCATTAGCCAATGCTTAATTAGTTAATGGCTTAAAGAATGATAGGAGTATTTGCATTACTAGACCAGATAAAGGTAGGGGTATAGTGGTTTTGGACAAGTTAGAGTATGTGAATAAAGTTGAAAGGTTGTTAGAAGACCCCTCTAAATTTACGTTGGTTGATATAGACCCTTTTTCGTATATTTTGAAATGTGAGGATAAACTGAATAGAGTTTTAAGAAGTCTGAAAGACTCTTTTTTTGATTATACAAAATTACTTGCAACTGGCTCTAAGCCAGGAATCTTATATGGGTTACCTAAAGTTCATAAAACAGGTATACCGATTCGTCCTATTTTATCAGCGATTGGCACTTTTAATTATAAACTGGCAAAGTTTCTGGTTCCATTATTAGAACCATTAACGCATAATGAATTTACTGTGAGAAATTCTCAGGATTTTGTAAAAGAACTTTCCTCTTTAAATTTTGAGTTCCCAACTATAATGGCCAGTTTCGATGTTGAATCACTTTTTACTAATATTCGTTTGTTGGAAACCATTGATATCTGTGTAAATCAATTATTTGCTGACACTAACTTAGTATCTGGATTTTGTAGTAAAATATTCAGACGGCTGTTAGAAATAGCGGTTAAAGACTCCATCTTTATGTTTAATAATAAATATTATAAACAAATTGATGGAGTAGCAATGGGGTCTCCTTTAGGTCCTGCACTGGCTAATGCATTTTTGAGTTTTTATGAAATAAATTGGCTTGATAATTGTCCTTTGGCCTTTAAACCAGTCTTGCACAGGAGATATGTAGATGACACTTTTTTGTTATTTAAGGACCAATGTCATATTGAGAAATTTAGAGAGTATCTTAATGCACAACATAGTAATATACGTTTTACTGCAGAGTGTGAAGTTGATAATTCATTGTCGTTTCTTGATGTCAAAGTGAATAACCTTAATGGATTCAACACTAATGTTTTTAGGAAACCAACTTTTACTGGTTTAGGTTTAAATTTTAATTCTTTTGTTCCTGATATTTTTAAGAAAAATGCAATTAACACTCTACTGAATAGGGCCTTTGTTTTATGTTCAAACTGGAATAACTTTGATCAAGAAATTAATATTCATGTGAAATTTTTTTCAAATAATGGTTATCCTTTGCATATGGTTTAAACCTTTATAAGGAATTTCTTAAATAAGAAGTTTCACCCATCGTGTAGGATTACTACAGTGGAAAGGGATCTTAAATATATTAAATTACCATTTTATGGCACTATTAGCTTTTCTGTAAGGAGTCGTTTGAGGAGACTGTTGCAGCATTGTTATCCTCAAGTAGACTTTTGATTTATTTTTGTCAACACAAATACCATAGGCTCATATTTTAAATTTAAAGATAAAGTGCCTACCCCCCTGTGCTCTAATGTCATATATATGTATAAATGTTCCAGCTGTAATGCTGGATATATCGGGAGTTCCATTCGGAACTTTAAGATTAGGATACTTGAGCACCGGGAATTATCTTTTAGGACTGGATTACCATTGTCTAAACCAGCATTTTCGGAGATTAGAAACCATTGTTATGAGTTTGATCATTCTCTGCTGGAATCTGATTTTAAAATTCTGGACACTTGTATGAATGGCCAGTCAGATTTGAGAGTAATGGAATCCTTATATATAAAGGAGCTGCGGCCTCTGTTAAATAGGAACCTTTCAGC